CTGTTTGAGGCGTGGGGTTCGTCCTTGCGTTTTGTATCGCAGCCTCGTGTATCGAAAGGGAATCAGGTTAATATTCCTGAACCGAGACGTGGATAATATGTGGTAACACAACCGACCCAGGAGACGCTAGCGTGTGCCCAGGGAAGAGTTCTCTTTTCTTTTTAACAAGCATATCCTACCTTGGAAACGGATTATCCGGCGATAAGGAGGATGCCTTGGCAAAGCACTTTACTTTTTGAAGTGTCCTGCGCGCCCACGACAGCCCTTGAAAATCCTGGCTAGAGATTTATTCGCACCCTCGTTCGTACTCATAACCGCATCAGGTCTCCAAGGTTAGCAGCCTCTAGTTGATAGAAGAATGTAGATAAGGGAAGTCGGCAAAATAGATCCGTAACTTCGGGAAAAGGATTGGCTCTGAGGGTTGGGCCTAGGGGTCTTTTTGAACACTCGAGCTTGCAAATCCACCTAGCGAGGCAGGGTCGATCACTCGACTTCCAGGTCTCTCCTGGAAGAACTTCCTTCGCGGCCTCAAGGGCGATGAAATCGAACAGGTTTGCCTGATCACCGACGCCGATTCGGCGTCGCCCGAAGTGAATGCAGTCAGTGATGGCGACGCTCCCTCGCGCCCAAAGAGCGCTGAGCCGAAGTCGGCCCGCGAGGAGCGCTTCGCAGCGCAGTCTTGGGAAGCGCTACGCGAATCCGGCAATCCAGTCTACGAGTCCGCCCGCGAATATAAAGATGTCTTTCCGGATACGATCCCAGCTGAGCTACCAGCTGACCGAGGAATTCGCCACGAGATCGATCTCGTGCCCGGCTCGAAGTATTGTGTGACGCGGCAGTGGCCGCTCCCGCGAGATCAGGTCCAAGCTATCGATGACTTCTTCGAGAGCCGCCGCAAGGCGGGTCATGTGCGTGAGAGCACATCGCCGCACTCCAGTCCGACCTTCTGTGTGAAGAAAGCCACGGGCGGATGGCGCATCGTCCATGCCTTCAACAAGCTGAACGACGCTACCATCCCTGCCCAGACGCCGATTCCTCGGAAGGACATGGTGCTCGACGCAATGTCGGGTAGTGAGGTCTTCAGTGCCATCGACTTGACCGATGGGTTCTACCAAATCCTCATGAGGCTGAGCGACATACCGCTCACAGCGGTAAGCACTCCCAGTGGTATGCTCTGGGAGTGGCTTGTTATGCCACAAGGCTTGAAGAATGCTCCCGCCACGTTCAATCGCATGGTATCCCATGTGCTGCGCCCGCTCCACGATTTCGCACCGAGTTATTTCGATGACATCTTCGTACACAGTCGCGCTGAGGGAGGCGTCAGCGCGCTTGAAGTCCACTTGAAGCATCTGAGGCAAGTCTTCCAAGTGATGCGCGAAAACAAGCTGTATGCCAACTTGAAGAAGTGTATATTCTGCGCGCCGGAGATTACGGTGCTTGGCTGCTTTGTGAGCAAGAACGGCGTCCGCGCCGACCCCGAGAAAGTGTCGTCGATATGTGCGTGGCCTACGCCACAGAATCCCACTGAACTGCGTCAGTGGCTGGGTCTCGCAAATTATCTCCACAAGTACACGAAGAATTACGCCGGATTGATCCAGCCGCTCTCTTCGTTGTTGAAGAAAGATGTGTCGTGGTCGCGGACTTCCGCACATCAAGGCGCCTTCGACTCGGTGAAGAAGAGTCTCGCTGAGGCCCCAATCCTCGTGCTCCCGGATGCCTCAAAGCCTTTTCACGTCGTCTGCGACGCGAGCGATTTCGCCATCGGCTGTGCGCTGATGCAATTCGATGAAGAAGGTCGAGAGCGTGTCGTAAGCTACCAGTCCAGGCAGATGAAGCCGGCGGAGCGCAACTACCATGTTCACGACAAGGAGCTCCTTGCAATGCGCTACGCTCTGATCAAGTTCAGAGTGTACTTGTTGGGTGAGGATACCTTCGCGATGTATACCGACCATGCATCGCTGAGGACAGCGATGAAGAGTCCTCATCTCTCCATGCGGATGGCCCGCTGGCTTTCGTTCTTCTCTGAGTACAACTTCGTTGTCCACTACAAACCCGGCAAGAACAACATTCTCGCCGACGCTTTGTCTCGGCGTCCCGACTACGACCCACGCAGTGCATTGGGTCGACAAGCTTCACTGGATGAAGACGATGTAGACGAGTGTGCCATGTGCGAGACGACAGGAGTCAACCTGACGAGCGTCTCCCCGGTAATGCTACTTCGCGACGAGATCCGAGCTGCTTACGAACATGACTCGACGTGCTCCAGTATCCTGAAGCATCTCCGCTCACCCAGCGCCGACACACTGGGAGCCCTTTCCCGCTCTGTACGAAACAAAATCCACCGATATCGTCTCGAGGACGAGCTGCTGACGTACAGCATCGACAACTTCGATGCCCCACGTGTCGTTGACCCTAACGACCCCGATCTGCGCTCACGGATTATCCATGAGTTTCATGATGCCCCGCTGGGCGCTCATCTCGGTCGCGAGAAGACATTTTCCGCTGTGTCACGCGACTTTTATTGGCCACACCTGTACAAATGGGTACGTAAGTGGGTGCGCACCTGCGAGACCTGCCAGCGCGTGAAACCTGCCTCGTCTTCGCAGGCTCCCTTGCGTCCTCTACCAGTGGCCACCGAGGCCTGGCGCTCGGTGTCGATGGACTTCATCTTCGGGCTCCCACCCGATGCTAAAGGACGCTCAGGTGTCTTGGTGTTCGTAGACCGCTTCAGCAAGATGGTCCACCTGATTCCGACGTCGGATGCGATCACCGCGGCAGATACCGCGGTGCACTTCCTTGATGCCGTCTTCCGTCATCATGGCCTTCCCGAATCTATCGTCTCCGACCGCGACCCGCGCTTCACGTCGGCATTCTGGTCAAAGCTCTTCGAGCTACTGGGCTCGAAGCTAATGATGTCCACAGCAGCCCATCCGGAAACGGACGGCCAGACGGAGCGCGTAAATCGCGTCCTCGAAGACGTCCTTCGAAGCTACGCGACGTCGTTCTCCAGCTGGTGCTCGTTTCTGCCACTAGCCGAGTTCGCTCTGAACAACGCGGTACACGCGTCGACTGGGCTGACGCCCTTCTTCGTTAACAACGCGCGACACCCGCGTGTCCCTGCTCTCCTCGCCGTGGGCCATCCCACAGCGCCGTGTGTCACCACTCTGGGTGGGGAAGAAGCTGCCGACAAGCCGTCTACTCCATCTGCGATGTCTCCGGCGGCTACACCGGTACTGGGTCAACCGGTACATACACCGGTTGCTAATGATATCTCGAGTGTATCCCCTGTTCCCACGTCGGTCAACGCAGTGACACGCTCCGCATCGAGCCCACTTGCGCCAGCTAACTACGCGCCGAAGCATGCGGCGCGACCGATCGACTCCGCAGTCGTCTCCGACTTCGTACTACAGCGCTAAGCGGTCACTCGCTATGTTCGTGACGCGCTGCAGGACGCAGTGGACAAGCAGAAGGAGAACGCTGATAAGGCTGGCCGCAAGAACACAGCCACGTTTACGACAGGCGAACGAGTGCTCCTGTCGACTGAAGGTATCAGAAACTCTGCGGGTTCCCAACCTCGGCGCGAACAAACTCGCGCCGCGCTTTATTGGGCCGTTTACGGTGATCAAGACCATTGGTGACGCTTACACTCTGGATATTCCTTCGACACTACGGCTAC